AGCAAGTGACCATACCACGACGACCAGGACGACGAGACGAAGAGATCGCCGCCAGTCGCCGCCGCACGCGCCACCACGCGCCGCCGGAAGGGAACAGCTACCGGAGCTTACTCGCGCGCGTGAGAGCGCGTGAACCGTCTGATTTCCGATCGGTCAACGCCGTTGACTTCTCCGTGACGCCAGCTTTCTGGATTGGTCAAGTTTGTTCGATTCCGAGAAGAATTGATTTGCGGTCAACTGTTCGGGCTAGCCATATCTACATAAATTTTAAGCAGTAAGTTTTTTTCATCAAACCTTTAGATCCGCTGCGCATAGGTTTATGTTGAATGTTTGTCTCTGATTTGTGCATATCAAGATCTTCATATGTCCCAACAGATACCTGCCTGAGTAATCACATGACCCAGAAAGGCTACTCGTTGGAGCCAGAACTCGCATTTGGAGAATTTTGCAAACAACTCTTCTCGTCTGAGGGTTTCAAGAACTACCCTCAGATGCTCCTCGTGCTCCTTCTGGCTCTTCGAGTAGATAAGAATATCGTCAATAAAGACAATAACAAACTGATCGAGGTAGGGATGGAAAATACGGTTCATTAGATCTATGAAAACCGCTGGAGCATTGCTGAGACCGAATGGCATGACGAAGAACTCGTAATGGTCGTAACGAGTCCTAAAAGCGGTCTTAGCGATATCTGACTCCTTAATCTTCAGTTGGTGGTAGCCTGATCGTAAATCAATCTTTGAGAACACACAGGCTCCCCTCAGCTGATCAAATAAGTCGTCGATCTTGGGAAGCGGATACTTGTTCTTGATCGTCAACCGGTTAAGATCCCGGTAGTCGATACACATGCGCATGGATTCGTCTTTCTTCTTGACAAAGAGAACGGGTGCTCCCCAAGGTGACACGCTCGGTCGGATGAAACCGAGTCGTAATATCTCCTGAATCTTCGCCTTAAGCTCCTGCAACTCCTTTGGCGCCATATGGTATGGGGCTTTGGATACTGGACCGGCTCTTGGAATGAGGTAGATGGAGAACTCCACCTGCCGGTTAGGCGGTCCTCCTGGAAGCTCATCTGGAAACACGTCCACAAAGTTACGAACAACTGGGACATCGTGAGGTGATCGTGATTTCTGAGAATCATCGACAAGGCTCACCAGATAACCCTGGCAGTTTCCTCGTCGCAGCAACTTGGTAGCTTTCGCCATTGAAACAACATGAGGTAATGAACGATTCTTGCTGCCAAAGAAGGTGATTGAATCGTCTCCCGGAAGATAAAGAGTGATCTCCCGGTCATGACATCTGATATCTGCATGATAAAAGGATAGCCAATCCATCCCGAGAATGAGGTCAAAGTCCCTCATCTCAAGAACATATGCGTCGACAGACAATGAACGACCACCGATGGAAAGGCTGAGATCTGAGGCTTTAGCTGAAGTCACTATCTTTCGTCCCGAGGCTAAACTCACCTCGAGAGGATCGACAGCGGTAACGGTATGAACTCCAATGGCATCAAGACATCGTCGTGAAATGAATGAATGCGTTGCTCCAGTATCGAAAAAAGCAAAAACAGGAATATTATTTAGCACAACCATCCCTGACATAGTACCTGGTTGCTGTGCTGCCTCGGCCTGATCAACCGCGTAGACTCGAGCCTGCTGTCTGTCCCTCTGTTGCTGCTGCTGAGGCGGCCTCTGAGCCTGCTGACGGGGCTGCTGCTGCTGTGGTGGCTGCTGAGGCTGCTGGGGCTGCTGCTGAAGTCTCTTCGGACAGCGATTCACAAAATGTCCAAGCTCGTGGCAGTAGTAGCAAATGTCCTGGCCCATGTGGCACTCTCCGCGATGAAGTCGTCCGCAAGTCGGGCACGGTGGAACCTGCTGCTGTCTCTGTCGAGTCCTACTGTCAGTCTGAACACCCTTCCCCTTCCTCTTCTTTTCCTTCGACGGCTGAGCAGCTGGTAAGGCTGGTGGAGCTGTGAATGGCTGGGCGGGGGCGGACGGCTGAGAACGATCACGGACAGCCTCCCTCCTATTGCTGGCGTCCACCTCCTGGGCGATAGAAACTGCACGAGCATACGTCTGGGTTCCGTGACCTACAATGTTGAAACGGACTGCTGGGTAAAGCCCGTCAATGAAGCGTTGTGCTCTCTGTGCCTCCGTGTGAACCAGGTCTGGAACAAAAGCTGCAAGTCTGGTAAACTCTCTTTCGTACTCGTCTACAGTACGAGTACCCTGCTAGAGCGATAAGAACTGACCCTCCATCTCTGCTCTGTAATAGGTGGCATAGTACTTCTCGCGGATTAGCTCCTTGAGCATATCCCATGTACATCCCGCCTTCTCGTCGGGACGCATGCTCCAGTAGGCATTCCACCAGAGCCGGGCATCACCGGTTAGCTGAAGCTGAGCGCAGATTACGCGATATCTGTCTGGACAATCCATGACCTCAAAAATAAACTCAAGGCCCTGAATCCATTCGTCCACGATACGGGGATTTCCCTGCCCGGAGAATTTCTCAGCATGATAGTCGCGGAACTGTGCGACTACTGTAGCCTGAGTAGGAGCCGGGCGATCGGGTTCCCTACGGGGCGGCATCTAAACATTGAGAAAGTTCAACATTATTGAACGCATGATAATATTCTGACTGATTAATAAGGCACACAAATCTCTTGACGAGTTGCCAAAAATGGACGATAAATACTGACATGAATCCTGAGGAACTCTAGAGTCATATCAGAAGATGCTGAATTCCAAAGTCATATCCGAATATACTGAATTCTAAAGTCTGATCCTGATTCGAGCATCTTAACTAAGTCTTGATTCATAATTTCTGAGCATAGGCAAAGTAATATGTTTATAACTGAAACCATAAATCAGCACTTACATGTAGTCGGCGAGGCGTGAGCGTGACGGTTCAGGTTTTTCTGAAATTTCTGACTGAAAAACTTTTCAGAGACACAGAAACGTGCTCTGATAACAATTGTAACACTCCGCCTTATCGTGAAATCAGAGTGCGTAAATTTCGCAAAGTTATTTAAAAATAAAATCTTTTAATTTGCGAAAACTGATTCGGGGTGCTACCGTAAAACGTGACTTATTCTGAGAAACCGTTACTTTAATTTTTTAGCAAAAATCTACGGTTTACTGAAAAACATTAATTATCCGATAGTCTGATCAAAAGATAAGTTCATTAACATCAAAATCAGTGGAAACGTAGTATCATCAAAATATATACAATCACATGCATAAAAGTCCTGAATCATCCATCATCTCACGCCCCCGGCCCGACATCCTGACCTGAAAAACATAATAAAAGTGGGTCGTGAACACTATAACACTGTGCTCCGTGGAAACTCATACTAAAGTAAACAGTGAAAATAATAACAATATCATGATCCTGGCATATACATAACCTGAACATGAAACCAGTAATAACATGAACATGAATCTGATATCATCACGTGAACGTGAACCATGACCGTTACCTCATCTGCCGGCAAAGTCAGACACCATGTGCACACTCTAGTGGGCAGACTAGGGCCACTAGAACCCAGAATGGACCGGCGACCATTCCGAGCGGATACATGACATGAAATACATACCTCAAACATGGTACCGTAATTATAATCAATGTAGCACTTAGTTTGAGTCCCCACCTGATCCGTGAAACTGAAAGTAGTGCTGATGCCTGATCAAACTGAAATATAATATAAACAATTACTACTGACTATGCTCAGACTGATAAATTAACTGATTAATTATGTTAAGATGCTCTACTGAACGTGACATAATACTTGGACTTAACCGGTATAACCGGAACTGATCTTGACATGAACTAACTGAACTGAACTGAACTCGGAATTTTAACTGAAAATGACACTGAAATCAAGAACCGGGGCTGAAAACTATAAAATACTGACTGAACCGGTCCAGCCGGTCTGAACCGGTGGTCGGCTGAACTGGGCAGGCGGGTGCTGGCTCGGCCAACGGCCTGCTAAGTGCTGCGCACACGGGCGCTGCCTGGCCTGGCCACTGGCACTGGCTGACT